GGACAGCATGATCTTGGTAACCGGGCTGCGGTGGACAGAGAAGGTCTGGAACAGCTGAGGTCCTGAACCGACCGTCTCCGGATGCTGGACGATGACTCGGACCGTCCCTGAACTGGTCCCGTAGGCGATCTCGATCCAGTTCCCGCTGTCACCTGAACACATGGAACCAGTCAGAATTAAAAGGGAGAAGCTCGACCAGAAGCCAAGTTCGCTGCACGATGCGTCACCGAGTCGACAAAACTGAAGCATGAACAGAAAGAGAATCAGCGTTTGAAGCAGTGTCGGTGTTGTTGCGTCGTACTGGTTTTAGGAGTGAGGTAGACGCTCAGAGCGGTGATGGCGTCTTCAGTCGGGTCTCTGTAGAGCTCCGTCACCAGGAGGTCGTTGTCCTTCATCCTCAGAGGAAACTTCTGAACATCTGACCGACAGAAACACAGCATCAACACCAGAGAGTCTCTCTTTAAACACACTGATCTATACAGAGAACAGAACCAGCAGGATGTGAGGAACCCTTCAACATTAAAACAGCTGAAGACCAACTAGTTTACAGGAAGTCAGGAGGGAGCTGCAGTGTTTCCTACCGATGTAGTAAATCGATCCGTTGTTGCAGCCGAGGATCAGGAAGGAACCGGCGGTGTCGTAGCTGCTGATGGGAACCACATCCTGGTTCTGCAGAGAGACAACGGAGAACGTCACACGCCTGGTTCAACAAAACCACACTCTACAAAGCCTGACTCAACTAAACCCGACTCAACCAAGTCTAAGTGAACAAAACCTGACTTCACAAAACCCAACTTTTACCAGGACCGGCTGTCAGATGGTCACAGAACAGACTATTGAAGTAATGTTTGTTTCCTGTGAGCTCATGTATGAAAGCTCGACTCATCTCTTTACCACAAACTGAACTGAGTCATTTGTTGAAGGTGACAGAACACAGAAGTGAACATAAAAACACTTTCACTGAGTCAAATGAGGAAATAATTCACGTGTAAAGTTACTGAAACACCAGCGATGTTTCTCCACCAACCTGCCAGTGTTTGGTGACGGCGTTCCAAACTCCGACCTTCCCGGTGTGGCTGGTGGCGATCAGCTGGTTACCAACGAAGAAGAGCGCCTCGGCCGGCACGTTCAGACTGAAGACGCCTGCAGGAGAAAGACGGCTTCAGTTCTTTGTTACGTGAAAAAACATCTGACAGTTAAAGGTATTAAATTGTCCCCAAATTGAAACTTTTACTAACTAAATATTAGCTTCGTACCGATTTCGTTGCCGTTGCCGTCGGGGCAGATGGCCCACAGGATGATCTCCGTTACCGAGGCGACGGCCACCATCTTGTCGTTGTCTCCCAGCGAGCCGCCCATCACTTTGGCGTTGAGGGCGACTCTGTCGATCATCCAGTCGAGACGAGGAGACGTGAAGACCTGCTGCCAGCCGGTCGACTCCTTCACCCTGAGAGACGACAGTCACATCAGAAAAACATCTAAAACCAGAACCTTCTCTGGTCCAACTTCACCACATCAGGTTCTACTGATGCTAGAACCTCAACAGGTGGTGAAATGTGACCAGAGACTGGGTTCTAGTAGAACCATGGATCCATCCATAGACAGACTCTGACAGTTCCTTCAGATCAGCCCAAAATAAACTCTTTATCTTGAGGTGTGTGTGGCGCTGACAGTCTAAATCAGGTAACGAGTAGCTCATTAACACTGTGTTCACCTGTAGCAGACGACAAACTGAGCGTAGGCCACAGCGATCCAGTTGTGGTGACCACAGATGATCCGGACCAGTCCGGGATCCGAGGACGGACCTGAACACAGAAACTCTGTGGGTCACAAACCGTCCTTTCAGTCAGACTAAACCAGGTGAGTAAAGCGGTCGGCGTTCTACCTGCAGACGTCCGCTCCTCGCCGCTCATCCGGCCCAGGATCCCAGAGTTGCCCAGGTTGGGCGGCATCGTGTTGCTGCGTCTCACCGGTGCTCGCTCCATCGGAACCGCTCGACCCGCCATGAACTGAGAGCCGGCGACGCTGTGGCGGTTCCGACGCTTCGCCGGATAAACTGGAAGCAGACGGACACGAAACTCAGCAGGAAAACTAAACGATGGAGAGAACCTTCAGGTTTCACACTCAGATGTTATAAAAACACATCAGAGCTGCTTTTAAAATAATAAATAACATTAAATCAATTAAAAATGAATTTAATTCACATTTCTGACAAAAGTTTGAGCAGAAAATCCAGCAGCAGCTTCACTGTTCGTCCAGAAAGTCTCCTCACAGCTTCAGATTAATAAACTTTAACCGATATCGTCACAAACGGTTATAAAATATAAACATATTCAACCCTTTTAAACACATTTTAAAGCCTCTGACTGTCACAGATACCAACATGGCTCCATGTTCAGTCAACACATGGAACAATAAACCTGCACGTGTTCACAGCAGACGTTTCAGTTTCACTTAATTCACTTTAGTTTGTACATTTCTGACTTCCTTCTAACTGTTCTTCTCTCAGTCAGAAGACTTCCTGAACATTTTTTCACACATTTCTTTGTGTCCATATTTTGATCAGAACATTTTCAAACATCTGTTGATTTTTTTTTTTCTGACGGTTTAAAAGTTTTTTTAATCAACATTTGTCGACACTTTTCTAAAATCATTTCAATATTTTTCTCAACAACCCAACATTAGATTTTTTTTTTTTTTTGCACTTTAAAGTTTTCTGATGACTTAAAGCTTCTTATGGCAGCATGTTGGTTGGTTGGTTTGTTTGTTTGTTTGTTGTGTAAACACTACAGGTGTGTACTTCCCGGCTCCCTGTGCTGACGGTCGGGGGTCGTACCTGGAGGCGGCAGGTATCCGTTGAACAGGACGTTCCCACAAGACGACCTGTCGAGTTCGTCACACAGCTGCAGCTTACGCACTGATGGACAGAAGAACCAGTCAGTCCAGGAGACAGATTTATATTCTAGAGGGTTAAAGGATGCTAAAGTTCACAATCGTTCTCTTATTAGAGTCACACCAGTTGTGTCGGTGAATAGAACCAAACATCTGTTAACTAAACAGTTTCTGCCCGAGTGTCTTCCTGTGACCGACAGGAAGTGGCCGTCTCACCGAGCGGCGTGATGCCGTAGAACTCGGCCTCGTGCATGAGCATGTGCACGTTGATGGACCGAGGATGCAGCTCTTTGGTCCGCAGGAAGTTGAGGATGGTGGCGAACAGAGACGGGTCTCTGTCGATGAAGATCTACGGCAACAGATGGGGGACATTCGTTAGGACTCAGTGAGCAGAAAACAGAGGATTCAGACCAACGACTGAAACGATGCAGCAACTTACGGCTCCGGTTTCATCCTTCAGAGTCGAGATCCTGCCGCTCAGGAGGCTGGAAGACAAAAACCATCAGCGTGTGAGGAAGACACATCAGACACACAAGTTGGAGACGTTTGAAGTCGTTTTGGACAAATTTTGAGCCAGTTTTTAAGTTTCAGTTAAAATCAAAGAAACTGGAACCTCGTCTGGTCAAACTTTCTTATTTTCACGGCTAAGGACAAACAAAAGCTTTCAAAATGGTTCCATTTCAATAAAGTTTTAAAGTTTTAAACTGCTCGACTAAAGTCTGACGTCAGCCGTCGGAGCTACATGAATGTTTCTGACTGACCTGGAGAAAAAGGAGTCGGGAACCCACGTGAGCGTCTGTCTGGAGGTGCTGAACCTGGAAACAACAACAAACAAACATTGTTTACTTCCTCCCACAGAGCTCTTGTCTTCTCGTAAATGATTAAAATGATTTCAAACCAGACAAACAGCATAAATGCATCAGCTGGTGGCTTCAGGACCTGAAACCTTCACCGCTGCTCGTTCATCTCCTCCAGACTGAACATCTGGTTCCTGCATCACTGAGTCCAGCTTCTAATTTAACTCACTGACAAACTGTTTAATTCCCCTGAAAGCTGAAAGCAGCTCCAACTGCATTAATCCACAAATCAATCAGAGTAAAAGGTGTTTAAAAATAAGAATAAATAGAAAATAAAACGCTGCTTCCAGACCTTCAAATGACAGCATTAAAAAAATAAAATAATTATCAGATTAATCAGAAGGGAAAAGGTAATTATTTTAGCCTGTTTCTAGCCCAGTGTATTTTTTTTAAATCTATAAATGTGTAAAGTTTAACCTCTCTGTTGTTTCCTCAGAGTTCATCGTGTTCCTCGTTGTCTGTAATAAACTAATGGTGCTGGATGCTGAAAGCGGTCCGACCGGTTCACCTGTTCACCTGTTCACCCTGTTTAACGGGTTGTTCACTGTCAGCAGGACTCATTCAAATAGTTTGTGAGTTATGAGCTTCAACAAACATCTGATCACATTTAATACAGAAAACTGTTTAATTCTGCATTTATGACTGAAAATCATCTTCATCCATCCATAAAACTAAACCTATAGAGCAAGACTCTCAACAATTAAATGCACCTCAAAGTGTTTTTTACAAGCAAAAGGATGTTAATGATAAATTTAGAGACTGAATGAGACCAAACTAAACATGAGAATAATGATTAAAACAGTAAAATATCAACAATAACACGAAATAAACTGATTCTAGTTATACAGTTAAATGTTAATATAATAAACAGAATAAAACTGGACTGTTTAGAGCGTTTTAACCACACATTATTAAGTTATTTTATTAAATTAACCCCTAAAAATCACAGTTGTTTTGTTTCACTGATTAGCAAGATGCTAAAAGCTGCTTCTGCACTGTTAGCCTAGCCAACTCCACTGGTTCCATTGTCGGACAGAGCACTTCTCATAAGCTGTTCCTGACTATTTATTCTTAAATCAACTGCGTTTAAATATCAATTAAAATATCTACAAACCACATGAACTTGTTCCTTTGTTTGCGTGTTTGTAGCCCACAGCTAGCTTAGCATCGCTGCGCCTAATCTTCACGTTGGCTTCCATTATCGGACACAAAACTAACTTTAGCCACATTATTTTCATAATAATTTCATTTTTTTAGGCTATTTCACTACCTGCGGGTGTTAGATTAAGTTTTATAGAATGACTGTCAGCTGGAAAAACCAGAATAAGTGAAGTTATAAGTCTGATAAAGTTAGCTAATGCTAGCTAACAACGACGTGAAGCGTCGGGCTGAGGAGCATCACAATGAACCGCTACCGGCTGAAAAACGACTTTTTAAACCGAGTAAAAAGCGATAAAAGTCGCTTTTGTTGGAGGATATGTGGTTAATACACACAGAGAACGCGTTTAACGGTTTGTTCTGAGGTTTCACGGAGATTTAAACGTTAAAAACACGAGAAACACGGCGAGGATGTGAGTCTGTCCGATAACGGGCGCTGCGCTGTTAGCACGCCGCTAGCCGGGCTAGCCCGCCGGAGCCTCACCGCTTCCCTCCGACGTTCAGGTGGATGATGTCTCCGCTCCTCGCCGGGCTCGACATCCTTCTGGCGGGCTGGTGACTCCGGCAGGCCGCTGCTACACGCTTTTAATCCATGTTTTTTGTGGGGATGAATTCAGTTTGCGGCTGTATTTATCCGTCAGCTTCCTGTGAGGCGGCCGGGCGAGCGGTGAAGCCCGGAACGGAGCGTCCGGAGCGGCGGTCGGAGGGGAAGCGCGGCCTGGAGCTCCTGGATCCTGGATCCGGACCGGACACGAGGTCGCTCAAGGATTAAAACAGATAAAAGCACAGCGGCTCAAAATGAACATTAATACATTTATATTTATTTTAATGCTGATTTCTGCACTAGAGTAAAACTGACTTTAAAAATGACAGTAAAGTAAAAAAAAAAGAACTAATAAAGAATAATAAGAGCCTAGACGGGAAAAAAATCAAATGAAAGCTCTATGAAACCTTCTAATCTCACTGATTAATGCAAGAATAAAAGGAGGTAAGTGGGCGAAAGAGCAGCTGAAATAATAAATATAAAATCTTATATTAAACAGATTAAATATGATGTATAAACACTAATGAGATTCCTGCACAGGTAGCAGCACTGAGACACTGAGGTGCATTTTGGGACTGTCCATGTGACTCTCACAGACTCTGGGAGGTGACGAACTTTAAAAGCTCTTACGTGCTCGTCGTTGTTGAAGGTGTTCGTCACACCATCGCCTTCCCAAGTCTGCATAGACTCTGGTGGAATCTGTAAAATGGTGAAAGTTTCATTACGTGGACTGGTTTGTGCGTCGCACCAAGTCAAGCTGTAGCGTCCTCTCCTGAAGTCTGCACAAGTTGTTACAGACTTCAGGAGA